ACTAGCATTTACACCACCCATATTATCAGTAGTATATACATTTCCAGAACTTAAGGACAGAGGACATTTGTACATGAATAAAAAGAACTGTAGTTGAATGCACACAAATAAGGCAAGAACTGTACTGTATTGCTCGATGTCTAACTCCGGGTAATTCACAACAACACGTAGAATTTTACAAAAGCAAAAGTTTAGCAAGAGAAGTAAGTCTTTAGTGAAAAACATATAAACAGTAGTTGGACATAAGTGGAGAATGGATGTAATGTGTTTACCAATACCCAGACAGAGAGACTTGCCTAGATAGAAAATGTCCACCTCAAACTGCAATGCAGTACTGGCAAAGTCATGGCAGGTTCGTCACCAAATAATTAAGGTGACGTTCTATAACTGTTTTAACTAGCATCCTGTTCGTTCCATAATTTTTGGACACATGTATAGTTGCTAATAACAGAAGTTAGTATAGTGGCTCACTTAGGATTTAATCTTGTAGTGAATCGAGCTGAACAAATATAAATCCAGAGAAAACAACTTCATTGTTGTTTTCTCTTGTTTTAATTGTTAAGTTTAAACATAAGATTGCTTGAAAAATTCTATTAAACTAAGTCGATATACAGAAACCTGTTTAATAAGTGAAATGTTGTTAATAAGTTATAAATGAAAAGTATCTTCATCGAGGATATTTTTGCATAGATCGACTACAAAAGATTTTCAAAATTTTTCAACCACAACTTGAATTTGTGATTTAAAACTGTTAAGTTTCTAGTAGACACGTCTTTGGCATAAAATTTACACAACTGACGAACAATTTTCCATTGCACTTGATGTTAAAGAACCTTTTCTTTTTAGTAGAAGAGTAAAAGGTATTTGGAATTGCAGTGGCGCTGAGTGAAATGTTCATACATACATTGCATGGTATACTACAAAGAGAAAATATCTATTCCATTTAATGTGGAATAATAAAAGTTATCAGATTTTCCGCGCAGTTTTTGGGAAAGTAACATGTTTTGATTTATTCGTTTATTTCTATACGTATAAACATTTAAGTAAAATCGACATTAATATTCTGTTACGACCTTCATAATATTAAAAAATACGGTCTAATTGGTTTCAAAATAATTTAAGCATTAAAGAACAGATCTTGATTTTTATTGAATTCAATACACGATACATTCAATAAGTAAAATTGTTATTTGTAGACATATAAAAATATTAATTAAAATTATATTTTTGCTGCTTAAATTCACGCAGTAAATTCAAATATCGTATTTAAATTCGTCATTTTTTTACATGCACGATTTCGTGTATTGTAGATTGTGTGAAAGAGATTACTCAGTAGTGAAGGCTGAAAACCCATCATATCAGATAAATAAGAAGTTGAGCATGGGGAGTGACATATTCAGGATCTGAAAAACTACGAAACAGTTTCTTCATCATAAGTGAAACAACTGAATTCTTCGGGGCAACTGCCTCATTTGTAACTGAAATCCTGAAGACAACAGGCATTTGTGAAAATCTACAAAGTCATATCATGTATTCGTGTACGATTTCGTGTTCGCTAAGCAATAGTTTCTGTATTACACCTGACTACAATAAATAATTTTTTTTAAAAAAATTATTTTCTCGAAATAATGGCAAGTTAAGATCAGAGAATCAAATATACTATAGAGAATTAAAATGTTTCTGTTTGTAGCGTTTCTGTAAATGATAAATTTCAATACAAAGCTTAAAAAATTCATAACAATTATTACCATAAAGTATTTTAAAAAAATAATAAAATCGTTAATGTGTATATTTATTATGCATTTGAAATGGTTTATATTCCTAGACGAAGAGCTACGTAAAAACAGATTGTCATTGTGTCATTTGTTAATTACTTCCTACTGTGTGTATTTGTAAAGTCCGAGACTACAATACTTCCACTTCTAAACCCTAATCTACGTTAGGCTATAGAATAAAATCGAAAGTTTGTACCCACAGATCATATCCTATGATTTCTTCGTCTTCTTCCTAATTTGTTATTATGATTATTCCATAAAATACAAATTTCGCATTAATATTCCTTCAAATTCTACTAAATAAATGTTTTATTACCTAAAATCAAATGACAATTGGAATTCTATGTGAAAAATAAGATAGGAGAAAAGTTCTTTTACGTAATTATTAAAAATTGTATTTATAATTAGTCATTATATACCATTTAATTGAAGATTTTAATGAGTTTTGGGTCTGTTATTGGCCAGATGAATAAATCCATTGAACATGCTAAGTAATTGATCACAGATTAACGCTTTACTTCAGTGCTTCACGTGGTACATAACGAAATGGCCACGTGGAATCCTCTGAAATTTCTTCGCTTGTCTAACATTGACAAAGAACTATTTTGCCACAGAAAGTGATTCCAGAACATCGCCGTTGATAGATCGCCCACGCATTTTATTGACGTATTCCTTCAAATCAAACTAATGTTTGTTATAAAGTGTCAATTATAGAATCTCGTCTGATTGGAATTTTACGAAAATTAATTTTAAGACGTAGTCTGTCCGAAAAAATACAGTACGAACGTTAGCTTGATATGAACAGTCAACACCTAATGTTACAAAATATAATCCATAATGTAAAATTCTTTTTAGAGTATTATTATTGCAATTTCATGTTTACTAATTTAAGCTGTCAGCAAGAGAAACATTAGTAGAAGGAACAAGACATGTCTTATCCTTTCGCATAACACCACTCAACTGAATCATCGAAGAGAAAACAGAATACAGAGAACTCACAACCTGAATAAATAATTTACATAATTTAAAAAATTAAATTAAAATATTAGAAAATATTATTCTGTTTTCTGCATTACTTTAATTATAAAATTCTTCATGATGTAAATAAAGTCGGCCATAGAAATGCCCATTGGTATTCCTCGAAATCTTTTCATGAAACCTATTATCTGGATAACAAACAAGCATATTACTGCACAGAATAAAATTATTTCATTTATAGAAAATTAATAAATATACCTTAAACTTGAATAAGGGAGGAAAACTGGCAAAAGTAAATCTTCCGACGGAAATGAAATCGTCATACAGCTGAAAATGAAATTCTTTCAGTAAAGTGAATACAATCAAGGCGTACAAATAACAGAAAAATACTTACGAGTGAAGTCACTGCCGAGAGTACCCATGAAATAATAAGGATTCCAGATGTGAATAATACAGAAACAGTTGCAATTAATATTTTCAATTTATAGTCCATTTCCACAAAGATGGCCGCATATGTTAAAAAACAACTGACGTATACAAAATGTAAATATAGAATAGGGATGAAAACTTTCCATCTAACATTTAGCATTTCGAATATTTCCCATATTTCTGTGTGTTTCACGAAAATACTTTCCAGTTTAGGTTTCGTTTCGAGCGTTACTCGTTTCAGTTCTATCAAATCTGTAGTCAGTTTATTCATTCTTAAGCAAATAACCGTAAAAAGGATTGAAAACAGGAAAAGAAGAGAAACGATGTGTGCACCCCAATACATTAATCGTACAGAATGGACTATTGAACACAATAAAGCTTCGTAGTCATTCCCATTCAATTTCTTAATTGTTACAAAATATACCTGTAAAGCAATAACAACAAATAAAATCATTAAACAAAACAGAAATACAAGTCCTGCGAAGAGGTAAAACTGAGCTTTGTGCAGCAAATTGTCTTCTTCTTCACAACTGCTTTTAAGGCAATGAAGATCCAGTTTTCTGCGTTTAAGTATGCTAAATTGTAGAGCAATATATAGTGCTATACATACGTTAACGACTGAAGACAATTGCCTATGATCCTTGTATATGTATACTAAACGAATGCAATATAGATCTTGCCTGAATATTTGCACGAAGAAAAATACAACAATCAGCCATAGAAATAATTCTAAAACTTGTGTAAATTTTAAATGGAATAGAATTCTTTTTCTGTACTTTAATGCATTCACAGGGTTCAAAAATATCAATGCCAAATACTCTAACAGCAGAAGTAACAGGACTTAGTTTGTATACCGGGCATGTCTGCTTTTGATACGATTACAAAGTGGTTTGCATAATGATTGTAGTTTGTTCTTTACTGAAATTGTTTACAGCTGTTTAAATATTGGTATATTAAGGCAGATATTTTCGATATAAATCTTGTATAAATAAAATCTGAAAGACAGTTAAGATATATAAGAAATGTTCGCTACTTACTTTGAATTGATTATCAGTTAATATCAGATCTCTTCCTCTAAAACTCGATTTCTATGTAAAAAGTATTTTATTATTATTTTGTTCAATATATTAAAAATATGAAATAATACTGTACAAGCATCCATTCTCTATCGTATTTGCTATTTTTTGTTAGATACCGAACAATAATGGTAGTTCATCGATTTTTTCTACGTGCATTTAACGTAATTTCTTTAAACAAAAACTGATTTATGCTGCATCCATTAATTGAATCGGAAGTATACTCGTGTGTTTATTCGGCGATATATAAAGTAATATTACTGTTGGGTATTAGATTCTATCTCAAATCTTATGTATGTTATATACGTATTCTGTTATATAAATAAAAACGAGTTTTTGTTGCGTATCAGAAATATAAATAATTTATGTTTGTTTCCGATTATTTTATTTCGACGTGTAGCTTTGAATAATTCTGCCTATCTCTTAATCATTAAAATGGAACACCGTTTGGAAGTATGCATTTTTAAGGAAAATTATAATATTAATAAGCCCGGATGTTAAAATTTTGTAATTCAGAACAATTTTCAATTTTTTGCGCACAGCGGACCATAATTTTAATGTACTGGACTGTTCGAATGAGTTTTGGAACATACGTGATGGTTCTGCATAATGAATTTTAAATTCTTTATAACACAAGCGTACTAATACGGGTTTTTTTTAAATTTCATATTTATCGCGGGTTTGGCCATGTCCGTGAGGAGGAGGGTAAATGATGACAATTTAGATAGTACAAAACAACGAAAACCACGGTTGATCTGCAAGGGAGAATGCCTCCAGAAAGCACTTTCTGTGGGTAACTGGTCCCTATTTAGATGTCAGATACGTGAAAAATTTGGGAAACTTTCTGGATTTTAATACAAAAGACTGTTTAGTTTTATCTTCTGTTTCCAATAATATTTGGAATTTCATAGGAAAAGCATAGCATATTTATGTCATTTGAAGAAGATCGCGTGTATAAAGAAAAAAATTACAATCAACTTTAATAAGTTCGGTTATTTCGGATTTTTCTTGCGATTCAAATATTCAAACGGTCAACAAAATAATAAAATGTCTTCTGTACACTACCTTCTTTTTTATAAGTTTGAATTTTTTCGTCTCTCTATGTGTTTCGTTTTATGGGAATATCGTTTACTTTATTAACTTTGATAAACCTTAGTAAACGTTACTAAACTTTAGTACGTTTCTTCGAGAATACGCAGCTCGAAACGAGAGATATGAAAATTAAAGGTTCGAATCAATTAAATACACTGAGACGTAATATGAAATAATAATTTTTGAATGTTAGCAGCGTAATCTAAGAAGTATAATTAGAAGTTAACCGTAATTAATGATGTGTGCAAGTAAAAAAAGAATAAAAAGCATCGAAATAAGCATTATCAGTGTGTCATATCAATTAGTAGTTGATCAATTAGAGAGTTTGTCTTGTTAGTTACATCAATGCAAAAGTTGAGCGAACTGCTTACGGGATGTCTTTTTAAGGGTAATAGACACCTATTTAGGCGTTAAAAACGTGGAAAAAACCTGATAAACGTCACGTAGCCAACTCGTTTTGGCAAGGCTCAACCCACGACCGAACCAAGAATATTCAAAGAATGGAACTACTTGGCAACTGGTGGGTCCGATTAGAGAAAATATGTAGAATTAAAAAAATATTTTTGGAGTGATATCGATCGTTACTCGAGATCATTCAACAGAAACGAGAAACTTAAGTCGAAATTATCTCTCATATAACTAATTTGCGACATACGTATTATAAAATGCGTAAAGCTTAGTTCACACTGACAAGTGAGCACGATTCGCTAGCGAAAGAGAAAAACAGAGCGAATAACCTTTGACGGGTTATTTGCTTTGTTTTTCGCTTTCTCTAGCGAATCGCGCTCAGTGTGAACTAAGCTTCAATCGGAAGGCGGAATTTAAAATTTTAAATTATGTCCATCTATATCTATATCTATATCTATATCTATACTTACTAATAATATATAAAGAGGTAATGTTTGTATGTAAGTTTCGTTGCAGCAGGTAATCTCCGAAACTACTCATCCGATTTCAAAAATTCTTTCACTAATATTTAGAATGGAACCTCAGGATGGACATAGGCTGTATATTATTCCGTTAAACATTCATATAAATTAAAAGATATAATCTAGGTCAGCGATTCCCAACCTGTGGTACGCGTACCCCTAGGGGTACGCGATAGGTTGTTTAGGGGTACAAAAAAAAGTTAGTTATTATGGCAGAAAAAATAATATATTATGTATCACAAACTAATAGTATTAAAAAATTATTAGGTAAAATATGTTCCTTGCAACAATCACAACTTTATTATNTTCGTCTCTTTATGTGTTTCGTTTTATGGGAATATCGTTTACTTTATTAACTTTGATAAACCTTAGTAAACGTTACTAAACTTTAGTACGTTTCTTCGAGAATACGCAGCTCGAAACGAGAGATATGAAAATTAAAGGTTCGAATCAATTAAATACACTGAGACGTAATATGAAATAATAATTTTTGAATGTTAGCAGCGTAATCTAAGAAGTATAATTAGAAGTTAACCGTAATTAATGATGTGTGCAAGTAAAAAAAGAATAAAAAGCATCGAAATAAGCATTATCAGTGTGTCATATCAATTAGTAGTTGATCAATTAGAGAGTTTGTCTTGTTAGTTACATCAATGCAAAAGTTGAGCGAACTGCTTACGGGATGTCTTTTTAAGGGTAATAGACACCTATTTAGGCGTTAAAAACGTGGAAAAAACCTGATAAACGTCACGTAGCCAACTCGTTTTGGCAAGGCTCAACCCACGACCGAACCAAGAATATTCAAAGAATGGAACTACTTGGCAACTGGTGGGTCCGATTAGAGAAAATATGTAGAATTAAAAAAATATTTTTGGAGTGATATCGATCGTTACTCGAGATCATTCAACAGAAACGAGAAACTTAAGTCGAAATTATCTCTCATATAACTAATTTGCGACATACGTATTATAAAATGCGTAAAGCTTAGTTCACACTGACAAGTGAGCACGATTCGCTAGCGAAAGAGAAAAACAGAGCGAATAACCTTTGACGGGTTATTTGCTTTGTTTTTCGCTTTCTCTAGCGAATCGCGCTCAGTGTGAACTAAGCTTCAATCGGAAGGCGGAATTTAAAATTTTAAATTATGTTCATCTATATCTATATCTATATCTATATCTATACTTACTAATAATATATAAAGAGGTAATGTTTGTATGTAAGTTTCGTTGCAGCAGGTAATCTCCGAAACTACTCATCCGATTTCAAAAATTCTTTCACTAATATTTAGAATGGAACCTCAGGATGGACATAGGCTGTATATTATTCCGTTAAACATTCATATAAATTAAAAGATATAATCTAGGTCAGCGATTCCCAACCTGTGGTACGCGTACCCCTAGGGGTACGCGATAGGTTGTTTAGGGGTACAAAAAAAAGTTAGTTATTATGGCAGAAAAAATAATATATTATGTATCACAAACTAATAGTATTAAAAAATTATTAGATAAAAAATGTTCCTAGCAACAATCACAACTTTATTATACATTTTTTCTTTTAGTTTTTTTTTCTTTAATTTAAAGTTACAATATGTAAAATTAACAATACGATTACTCACTAAATTTCTTAAATGAGGGGTACAATCTAGAGATATGACATGTCAAGGGGTACAATCTAGAGATATGACATGTCACGGGGTACGCTAATGAAAAAAGGTTGGGAACCACTGATCTAGGTTAAGGCTTTTATGTCCAACAGATGGCGCTACGAGTACGACGCCGTAAGTTTGCTTTTCTGTGAGGCATTACGCTTTTCTGTGAGGATGAACTAAAGCAGACCATCTTCTATCTATCTATATAAATAAAAATGTAATGTTCGTTTGTTCCTACCGATTCCTTTGAAATTTTGACACAACGCTGCATTCGAATACGCACGTGTTTTTATATAATATACGTGTCGAAATTCCTCCCACTGAAGGGAGATGGTTAGGATTAAGGCTTACCGTAAAGAACTCTACTTATCTTCTATTTATACTATTTTAGATGCACAGATTAGTTGAACCTGTGCTGCACAAACTTTGAGTTAATTTGTTTGTTTTGTGCATAAATGTTTACTATTTTCTTAGTCTTTTCTGCTCTTTCCTGTAAGTGTTTCTGCTGAATCAAGTATCATTTTGTACTAATTAAATTATGCACTTTCATTTTGTAATTGAATTTTTTTCTCTCTGCTGGTTTCTTAGTTAGTTTTTAGTTCCATATTTAACCACTAAGGGTGCTAAAGTGACATTCAATAAATTACACATGGTCACTTTCCTGCAGATGCCAATTACTTCTATTGTGCTACAGTACAACAGGTGGTTGAAAAGTTATGAGGGGTGTACAGACTTCTGTAAGAACTCTGTATATTTGTTAATATGCCTAAATGCTTTTTTTTTCTTTTTTTTAATAGAAAAGTTTGGATTTTTTTTGCTTACTGGAAAAAATTAATGATTGGAAGAATTAATATAATGATGATTGATTTATAGAGTAATATAATCAATCAATCAATCATTATAATCATCATCAGATAGTATTCTTTCTTCTCTTATTATTTGTGTCTTTATAGTGTTAATATATATATAGAATGTAGAAGAATTAGCATTTCTAATCTTATTTATATTAATTTTACTCTAAAAATACATTTTATTTAAAAAATTACATTAATTTTGGACAATAGTAAAACAGTGATTCAAATATATTTTTTAATTAATGGCTAGTGAAAATATCATTAACTTAAGATAATAAAAAACAATTTTGATTCTTAGACATTTCTCTATTTTGAAGAAAAAGATCAAATATATTTTAGTATATACTGTATTTACTATCTAAACTTAAATTGTAAATTACTCAACTCTTTTAAAAAAATTTACTAAAAATAACAACAGGTTGTGTGTAAAGATTTATTTCTTTCAAATATATGGAAAAATTTATAAAAAGACATGAAAACATACAGAAGCTCAGTTTTAAAATATATATACAAAAGTACAAATAGTCTTATGTCCGGTCATGTTGCCGGATGTACAATAAAATTATGATGGAGCAAATTATAATTTTGCATAAACCGTTTACATTTGAGTTTGTGCATTTTATTTGAGATTCAAACAAATTCAACTAATATATATAAAAAAAAAAAAAATGTGCAAATAATATCTACAAATAGAAAAATACATTCATGCTCTTATCTTAAAAACAGAACAATATATATATATATATATATATAATTTTTGCCAAATTTTATTTTATTTTTTGTTAAAATTTGTTTTGCAGCCCTTCAATAAATATCTCAAAATTCATTTTTAAAAATCACATTTTTTTTGTAAATAGTTTATCTATTGAAAATTTCCATTTTGTTTTTTAAATTCATTATAATTAGAGAAAATATTCTTTTATAAATCATTGTCTAGATCGATTTATGCATAATGCCCTAAATGGAAAAACAAATTAATTAAAATCTTTGCTATTTGTTTATCAAAATAAATATATAAATCAATGCTTTCTGTTATAAAGTGTTGAGCATAGAAAAATTTCATCAAAATCTCGTGATTGTTTTAATTCTTCTCAAAAACTAAACTGCATCCAAAAAACAACAAATGGAAGCACAAACGCTCTCTTGAGATTTTGAATATGCAGTCCTTAAATTTATGGCACAATTTGCAAACAAAATGATTTTTCTTCAGCACTCAAACTCCGATGCCGTTATGGCATTTAAATCTTTCATTAGTCCTTCTAAATTTGCCATCTCTTGATTTAGTTCTTCAGTACTGTAAGAAGGCTATTTAAATTTAAAAATAAAAATTTAATTATATCTAACATTGAACTGTGAATGTATTTTGAAAACATTAATTTTACCTGTGATGCAATTGGCATTGTAGAATGAGATTTGAGTGTTGATTGTTGAGAGGATGGTCCAGCAGGAGTTGAACAAGTAGGAGTATTAAAACCTTTGTGTGGACTTGCTAGAGGTTGTGACCTGACTATAAAACAAAAACAATTTGTATTATATTATAGTAGTTTATGCTTTAGCAAGCAAATGTAATGCTAATTTATTCTAAGATAATTCTCTATTACATATATAACAGATTACTTTTCCAGCTGTCAAAAAATGACCCCCCCAAGAGTTTTAAACTTTTGGATGTTGGAAAACATCCAGAGATGTAAAAAAGTATAGGGTTTTTTCCTGTGTGTGGAGTGAGGAGCATAATTTTGTTCACCCAATTTGAAGCTTAATAACTCCTCTACATTTTATCAGCAGTTTATGTATTATGGGCATTGATGTATGGGGGTCACATGTCAAACCTCAAGTAAGATTAGACTCCTTATTAGCATTTACAATTTTTTTATAAAATGGCAAAAAGCTTAATTTTGAGGATAGAGATGAGTTTTATATTATGAATTTTATTAAAAACTTTTTATAACAATTAGTAGCAGATGGCACCATACAACTTTAACTTTATTGGTGGGAAAATTACACAATGAATTCTGTTTTCCAGAGGCAATTTGCTATACTATACAGCAGTTTATTCAAATTCAGAATGTTCAGTGATGATCTGATTTTTGAAATATAATTTCTGAGGCTACATTTGTGGTCAGCTTGCTGTTTAAATTTATAAAACTTCCTATTGGCATTTTCATTAAGTATGACTAATGAGAATTTAATCCAGAATTCATGAAGGTAGAAGTAAATTATGAGTTTATTAAATAGTTTTGTTAGAAATTGAACATTTAATGCTGCTTTTCAATCTTGACAGAAGTAACAACAACTGACAGCATGGATTACTGATTAATGATATTTCAAGAAAAATTTTAAAATATTGTTGCTATTTTATGATAACAAATTCACGAATCCAACCCAAAATTTTCTCATTTGATTCATTTAAGTATGTTCAATGACAAAATAATATTCATGAAAAATATTAATAAATAAGAATTTTATGGAAATAGTTGACAAATTTTATTTTTTATTTATGGTATTAAATAGAAGACAAGCAACAAACTGAAAGTTTTACCATATGAAAATCATTATATCTTTCACAACTGTAAAAATTATTGATATTTATATATTGGAATAAGGAAACTGAAGAAAAATTTCTTTTATAAAATGCCAAGTACATATATTTTTACGAAACATAAATGGTTGATGATAATATAACCAATATCCTATTCTCACTCAGATTCTTTAACAATATACAGTCAACACACCTTAATACTGAGAACGCACATTTATTGAGCTAAACAAACGTTTTCAACCCATTTTATGGGCCATCATCAGGTTAAAGACGTTCGAATCTAAGCAATTATCGAACACATTCAAATTTAAATTATATTAGAACATATGTTGAAATTAAATTACGTAAATAAGCATAGCAAAATTAATACAATAAATACAAAAAACAAAATAATATAAAAAGGAATATAAAATTCGGTAATTTCCCACAATACAATATGTAAACATTTTTTATATATTAACCCAGGTTTTCATTGTATCATCCTACGAGTTTTTTCTGATTATGTATTTCCATGCCGATGGTAAAATGGTTGCATCCTTATAGTTTAAACATTTATCCATCAAGCTGGATCTGTAGATCTCACATTTCTCTGTTGTGGATGCAAGTGTTGGCGAGTGTACCTTTGCAACGATTCTGGCCTCCTCCCATTTAACTATGGATCCATCTGTTCGCACTATTTTTGATAACGCTGTTGCATATCGGCTCTTTGCAACGTCATACATATGCTCCTTCATCCTCACGCTAAGGTTTCTATTAGTGACTCTTATGTATTCTTTATCTATTCCTAATTGGTCGTTCTTGTATGGTATTGCATATACTCCTGCTTGTTCTTTTTCATTAATTTTTTCTTTGTCGTTTCTGAGCAACGTATACAATGTGGGAGCTCTTTTGTATACTATATTGGTGTTTTTGTAGTTTGCAATTTCTTTCATAACTGGGAATAGATGTTTATTATATGTAAATCTTGTGATGTTGCTGGCTCCCTCTGGTTTTTTCTTTTTGCTCTTTCTAGGATCGTTGTATGCGGTGATTAGATGCTCTACAGATCTTGTTCCAAATCCCAACCCTTTCGCCACTTCTTTAATTCTATTCAGTTCCTCTATCATGTCTATTACATTGGAGCAATACAGAAACGCTCTTCTGATTAGCGCCCTAAAGGCAGAGAGTTTATATACAGTTGGATCATTAGATGTCGCTGGTATATATATCGGATCATGAGTGGGCTTGATAATATAACCTTTTAATTTTTTTATGTTTTGTAAAAATATATTTGAAATGCTACAAATATAAAAAAGAATAATCCATTTTCTACTCATGAGTACTCAATACTACCAGAAAATACAGAACTTTATTAATTTTTAACTCGGAGTTGCTTATTAAAATTAAATCAAATTTAACAAAAACTGAATTTATAATGCACTTGAAATTTAAGGTAAGTTAAAAACTGTAGTTATTCAAAATGATGTCAACACTTATAATATTTTATTTCAAATTAACTACACTGTGACAAAAATGTTTTCAATAAGAAACCGGTAACCCTATGTATTCAATGCAGTAATCAAATTCGTATACCATACACTTTTTCTAAAGTATTTTCATAAATCTGGATAATACCTAATGTAATATATCCTTGAAAAATTACAAGGTAGGGAGGCACAAACACCAAATCTTTCATGAAACTCCTTTAAAATCATGGATGTGAGATCTAGTGATCAATGAAGTTAAATCTTGTCATTATAAGAAACATGGACAAATTTTCCCATTACTGGATTGGCTATCACATTTTCTCACAGAAATACAATCAGCTGTAAAACTAGTTTTTCTCCCTTCTTATATGAGAAAATAGACAATACTGAAAGATTTCTGATTTGCTGACTATAATGGTTCAATAAAAAAGAATGGTCATAAATCTTAGACATTGTACAGAAAATGTTTATTTTGGGATTGTCCTGTTCCATAGTTTATATGGATCACAGTTTATATAGTCTCCAGATATCACTGTTGTGTTGGTTCACATACAGTTGAGATGGAATATGGATTTATCAGAAGACAAAAATCTCTTTCATGGACCAATTAGTATTATATATAATATGTAATTTTGTGCACTTTTGTTATATTAAAAAAAAGTAGACTTTAAGATAATGTCATGCGACAAGTAATCTAGTAAAGATGATGAATTTTTATGTAGAGAATTTGCTGTGATTTCAGGTTAATGAATGGATTTTTTAATGCTACACTGGCATATTCTCAAAGTATTCTGTGAAACATCAAATTCTCTATCAACTCTGTTAATTAATTTGCAAAGGCTTCTGAGACAATTGAAATACTGTACATGCACTAGACCTGAGATGACTACTGTTTTTGCTTTTAAGATGTATAGCAGTTTTTAGAGCATTACACATCTTAAACTACTAAATTTTTTTTGTAGATGACTGCTGCATGATAAGATAACATTTTTTACAGTTTATTTTTATTTGTAGAGAACTGCAACTGCAGTACTGGTTTATGATGATAAACACAACTTTGAGATTGATATTGTATAGTTTCTGGGAAATAAAAAGTTATTGACATCATTTTCATTAAGCCAGATAAAATATAGCTAATTAAACAGAAACCAAAATGTGCATGCGTAAGTCATCAGACTTGCATCTTCTGAAAATCTATAAATAACTTGCAAATAACATAAAATTAATAAAGCCGCCAAAAAAAGGGGGAATATATGTTGATTACAAGGTATTAATCTGTGTTATTGTAAAAGGATTTTTTATTACTGGATAGTTAAAGATTTATTTTATTTATTCATTCCAGTATAAGTTCTTGCTTTTATTTAAAATATAGCTATGTATGTTTTACTAAAAATTAAAAATAATGTTCACACTTAAGGTAAAAAAATTGAATGTCTAAAAATTTTGATTATATTCAATTGTTTATAAAATTAAATAATTACCAACCTATATGTTTTTGTTGAGGTGTTGTGGGAGCACTCTGACAGGGAGGTGCTGGGACACTGAAACTTTTGAGTGGATGAGCTTGACTTCTCTTTCCTAATGTGCCACTCGCAGATGCCTCATTTCTCCCTAATGTCCCCATTCCACTTCCACTGGAGGGAACGGTCGAATAGGAGGGATGCTGTCCTGTTCCCATAACCATTGTTGGACAAAGTGTTATGTGCGGAGCTGGAGTAGACTGACTGATAGCTTGCTCATAAGGCAATGGGGGTTGTTGATTATGAGATGGAGATGGCAAATCTGGTGAATCTGATATTAAAATATTTCAATATTTCAGAGTGTTATTACTATAAGGTTTATATCAGATGAATAAAATATACAAGGAGAAAATACAAATTAAAGACATTTGTCATAATTTGTTTCAATGTCTTAATGATTTCTTTATGTAAGATAGCTTAGACAATTATAATGGAGCTATATTAAAAGAGATTAATGTTTATAATGATAAAAATTTGGGAATAAATATATTCCCATCTCATCTAATTGCTATATTATTTTTCATATAAAATAATATTTACCAGGATGAGATGTATCTACTGAAACATGAGCTCTAGGAATGTTGTACTGTGTTCGAGGGTAGAGTGGACGAGAGAGTCCAGCAGAACCTTCAAAATGTTGACCCATTGTACTATTAGGAATTGTTGCAGTAGAACTAATTGCTATAAATTTGGAAACATTTTATGCTTTAAAATACAATTTATTTTTTTCATAACTTTTATTAGCTTTACTCACCGACATAAGTTCCTGCTTTTTTATCTAACATATTAATCATTTCATCTGCTAATTCTTGAGAATTTCTAGGTATAGGTGTAATTGTCAGTGTTGACTCTACTTGATTACCTTTCTGCATTGACTTTAATTCCATTTGATCATGATGAATCCATAAATCTGGTGGTTTCAGTTCTTTTCCAATACCTTTTCCTTTATTGCCTCCTTTGTTGGTGCCATAGCTAAAATATTATAAATTTATACAATTAGTAATTTTGAAATAGTGATTAAAATGCTCTAAAACATGTATCAATGAAAACTGTTTTTGGACATACCGTACTTTCTGAATTGATCTCAATCTATTTCTTCTGCGTTTACAAAAGACTATACTAGTAATTATAGCTATAACTAAAATAAAACCACCAACACTAGCTACAATAATATATAACATATTGCTGGTAAATCCATCATTATCTGAAAATTAAAAAGAAAAGATACTAAATATGGGTATTAACTGTTATAAATCTTAAGTTCTGATAAAATCAGTAATTTCTAGAATTAATTTTTCTATAGTCTAAATATATTTAAACTACATTTTTCATCTTAGACATTATATTTATATAAAAATTTGATAGATTTTTATGTTAAAGTCCAGCTCTGAAATTTACTTTACTTTAAACTAAGCTGTTTCTGTGAAAAATGTTACTACTGATATTTTGTACAAATTAATCGATCAAATATTTTTGTTTCAAAATAGAAATTTGAACCATTGGGCCTATAATTCTTATGTATTTGTCACTTTAAAATTGAGAGATCTTAAAATATGAAATGTCATTAATTACCATAAACTTAAATGCAAATTTAATTTTAGGTATTTTAATTTATTGTATAATTAATTACAATTATTTTAATTTAATGGTAATTAATAGTATCTCAATCAACCCTTTCACTGTCTATGCATTTTATGTGATTCATCAAGGATTCCATTTGAGACATGTATGCATCACCTGTGATACAATTCACTAGTGATTTTTGAGCAACTTTTTTAAAATGAAGCTTATGACTTATCTTGCATTTCAAGTTTCTAGACATGAAAAATATCTGTTTTTCATTATAAATCTTGTTCCCTGAAGTTTTTTTAATTTATTAATGTTTTTATGATTGTTTATGTGTAACTTTTAACATAAAGTATTTCAAAATAATTTATAAAATGGTAAATTTGAAGGTTTAAACAGTGAGTATTTAATTTATTTGTTTTATAAACAAAAACAGAAATCTAAGAGGTATTATATTATAATTATTAAAATGTTAAGATTTTGTTTTTATAAAAAATCAATAGCAATGCTAAGTACAGTTTGGAAATAAAACTTTTTTGAAACAAACTATCTTCTAAGAAGAATAAATTTTTTTTTTAGATTGGTGACAAGCATTAAAACATATATGACAATAAGCTTTATTGCAGCTGGAGATAATGGGTTAAAACTTGCTTTTGTTTTTATTGCTTGGTTGACATCTTTTGATTCTGCTATCTTCTTGTAGCAAGAAGTATATCTCTTTTGCACTATTTTTCCTGCCCTATTTCTACTTCCAGATTCCTGCAGTGCTTCTTCGTATAAGTTCAACTGAATAGGAGGCACTTTACATAATAAGCTAAAATTACAGAGTAAAGATCCTGCTACAACTTTTATAAAGTTTTGGAGTAAATACTTTTTGGTTGTGTTTCACACCTTGTAAATTATCCAGCTATTCAAAACTCCCATCCTGAGAAGCTGGAATGCAATTTTTTGCTACCAATTTTTTTGGGAAAATATGAACTCTAATTTACATTTGTAGTATTTATATGTTGTTTTTTGATGCTGCTTATGGTAGAAGTTTGTGATTGAATATCTTCTTTTGAATAAGAGGTTGTGGATATCAATGTATTTTTGGAAGATGTGTTAGGACAATATTAATCTTCAGAATCAGAACCAATAATAGCATTGTCATTTTCAAAATTATCTTCTTCACTATTACTTCTATAATTGCCCAATATCTAAACTTTCTCCAGCCATTTTGAGATCCTTTTTCATTCATAAAAGAGTTGAAAAATTAACTTATAAATACAGACACATTTGCAACATTTCATTATATCTTGAATAACATTGTGCAACTTGGGAATGCATAACTTTTTGCAATTGTAAAGAAATACACAATATGATAAACACTGTTGTTTATCATATATGATACATACAGTGTTTCATAAAAAATTTTTCTCTACGTGTGAATGCATCAAATATGCTACATAGTATTTTTATTGAAGAAAAATCATCTCCCTGTATTAATCTGTAATACATTTGGTAAAAGAACAAAATTTGATTCAATAGACTTTCATTTTTGTTAAAAGTGTATAGGGAATACTGAAGAAAATTGATTAGACAGCAAAAGGATTAAGTATATCATATCAGAATCCTGTACATATTTTAACAAAAATCATAAATACAGTTCTCATTAAATTATATTCCTTTTAAAAATTAATATGATTATCCAATGTCTGTTGTTAAAATAAATATAATAAGACATTTAAAGTGAAAAAGAACTTAATGACATGCATTTTTGATGAGTTCAAATTATCATCAGGCAAATGAATCTAGTGATATGTAGAGAACATAACAATTTTGAACATAAGGCTTACATGAAAGTGAAAAATAACAGCTATAAAATTGATAAACAAACATTTAGGATTAAGTTTTGTTTATGAATCAATTGTTAGTCCTCTTTGCTACACAAATTCTTTTGTATTGTAGCAAGGACACAATACTGAGGAATTTGCAAAGATAAGATAACCAGGGATTTAAAAACTTGTGTAGCCAATATAATGTAAAAAGGATAAATGTAATAAATAAATGAAATAAATGTTAAAAGGATAAAAATTATTTAGGTAAAAATAAAACAGGTAGTATCAGATGGAAACTATAAACTACAAAATCATATACTTGTTAGTAAAATTGTCAAATGAACTCAATAATTGGATTTTCTTAATTAATAATGTTAAAACACTAATTGTAATCAGAGAGACAGGTAACAAGAACTTCCCAGAAAGAGGAATCAATTCTATATGACATGTAAACTTCTGGTGACAGATCACAGATCCAATTGAAAATATAAACTATCCACCTAAAAGGGTTTCTAAGAGGAACTGTACCTGAGATAGAATCTTTGAAAAATTTGAGTCAGATGGTGAGAAAGGAGATAAGAAAGAGCTGTATTTGTCCTTGCAGCTTCAAGAAACTATGTTTACTACTACTACTACTACTACTACTACTACTACTACTACTACTACTACTACTACTAAACTGATCCAGAGAGTTTAAGTTCAAACAACTAAGACAAAAGTTTCTATCCTTACCTATTATATCAAGTCTTCAAGAACACCTGCTGAATCATTTGACAATAAAAACAAAAGAGAGAGAAATCTCATTTCCTACTTTGTCTCACTAGAAATAAATGAATAAAAGTTGTTTCTACTTCCAGATTCCAATGATAATCCAATTTTGTTCAACTTGAGTTTGAAACATCCAATGAACTCAGGTACAGGTTCAGAGACATCTCAATTCACCAACTCCCGAATCTCCCCCCTCTCTCAATAACCTATTATATATAATATTGTTTGGGGCATACATGCAACCAATTTCCACATGATGTATATTGATTAAAAATTAAATTTATTCTGGTTAGATCTAAAGAAAAAAGAAAGTTGGTCTCCTGTGTCCTTTCTGGAACAATCATGTACTTGCTCTTGAAAAAAGTAAAAATCCTCATATATAAGAAAAATTAAAAAATACTAAATTTACATAATTTTTTAAAACTATTTTATAGTAGAAGATTTATGATTGTTGTAACAAAACAAATTTATTCATAGAAATTCAAAATGACTCAACAGGGATTTCCAATCTATTGAAACAAAAGAACTAACAAAATGTATACAGTTTAAAATAAGATGGAAGAGGCACACATTATATTATCAAAACAGAGATGAAAAACTGATTTTTTTCATTGTAACATATTTTTTTTTTTATTATATAAATTGCATAAAAAGTGTTCTGAAATTTTTAAAATCATTTTTTCTTTATAAAAGTGTCTAAGAATATTTATAATAGTTTTTTAATGTAAATTTGAGTGTGTTATAGAATCTGTCCAGCATCTGAAGTCTTCTGGCCATTGGCCTAGTATATTCTGCTTTAGCTACGTGAAATATTTTATTTTCATTATTACTTTCATATTCAATAGCACTGACTTTAATATAATTATTACAATATCATATAAATTATTCAAACATTAATATTCATTTTAGAGTTTTTAGAATCATTTAAAGCAAAATTAATTTTCTTCATATCTTTGAATTGACAAAATTTTAACAAATATCATATTGATTTTCAGGCTAAATTGTGGCAAATTTTATAAAACTGATTGTAAAATTAATCAAATTTTGTAACTAATGAAAAAAGCCAAGTGGTGATGCTTAAGTAATTTATGTCAGAAATTATTTCAAAGTCTAAAACAACTGATGTCAATCAAAGTAAATAATTATTTTGCATCAGTTCAGTTATGACTGGTGGATTTATATCAATTAAACTAAATTTTAATTCTATATGCTCAATTATAGAGAAAATTCAAGAATATGTAGATATATTTTTAATGCATCTTATTGGAAAAATGTTGCATTTTACATAAAATATTTACATTTTTGTTCATTTAGAAAATCTATACTAATATTATAAAGAGGTAATGTTTGTATGTAAGTTTGTTTGCAGCAGGTAATCTCCGAAACTACTCATCCAATTTCAAAAATTCTTTCACCAATATTTAGAATAGAACTTCAGGGTGGACATTCATATAAATTAAATGATGTCATCTATGGTTAAGGCTTTTATGTCCAACAGATGGCACTACGAGTACGACGCCCTAAGTTTGAACTAATGAAAATGAAAATGAACTAAAGCAGATCATCTTCTATCTATTTATATAAATAATAATGTAATGTTCGTTTGTTCCTACCGATTCCTTTGAAATTTTGACACAACGCTACATTCGAATACGCACGTGTTTTTATATAATATACATGTTGAAATTCAACCCCACTGAAGGGAGATGGTTAGGATTAAGGCTTACGGTAAAGAACTCTGCTTCTATTTATACTATACTACGGTAAAGAACTCTGCTTCTATTTTAGATGCGGGTTTTTGCGTTTTTGATTGCGTTTTAATAGGGTATGTCAAGAGAATGTACACTAAGAAGAAATTTTTCGAAAAATTCCCCCCACGGGGGAAGTGTTATAAATTTATAAGAGATACATTTTGAGCCACAACAACGTGTGGTGGGGTCTGCTAGTATATAATAATTTAATGCAAATAAATAATTCATAATATCTGCACAACTATTTTAAATATAAGAATTATTATTTAACAATCGTTCTTAGTTCTCATATGGCCAGCAAC